TGCTATTATTACAGCATGTTTTTCTTTGCAAAAATTACCACTCTAGAAACATTAAACATCATATGACTGCACAGAGATGATATCCTTTGTGTAGATTTGCTTCTAGTCAGAAGAAATCAACTGAGAGGCTAACAACTCATGACTATGGCCTATTAACTAATTCATCTCCCTGTTGTCCTCCTGTCTACATGGCATCTAAAAGTATCCACTTAAATGATTCCATAGTTTAGGTCAGACCATGTCCATCCTCACAAAATTCTCCCTTCGTGTCTAACTTTAAAGATAAAAGAAAAGTGCTAACGCCAGTTTACAAGGCCTTGAGTGACCTCCTTCCTGGTTACTTCTGTACAACCCATTATACTTTCTTTCCTTCATTCTATGGGGCCACACTGGCCTCCGTTCTTCCTCGTAGCATCAAAGTACAGTCCTGTCTTAGATGTACCCTTTGCCCTGTAAAAGTTTTTCTTAAATATTGGGTATGTCTTTCTCTATCACTTCCTGTAAAACTACTCAAAAAGTTTCCTGCTCGAAGAGTCTTCTCTGAATACCCTAGAGGACATATTCTATCTCTAGTACCTTATTTCTCTCCCCATCATGACTTAAAATACTTATGTCAACTACTTTTGTCTCCTGACAAGGGGCAGCTCTGAGACTGGTCTGTTTTGGTCACTGTTATACTTCTGGTATCAGAAATGTACTTGTGCCATAAATGTACTGAACGTTGACTGTAACTCCAACTAGAAATTACCCCAATATTTATGTTCTAAGAAGCATTTAAACTGATGTGTTTGGTAGGGAGGAGGTCAGTGACTGATTGAATGTAGAGGGTGGAGGAAGGGGCTGATAGTAAAAAGGGCTCCCTGGTTTTTCATAGGAGAACATAATTGGTGGAAATGTCATTTACAAATGTAGGAAGATCAAAGCAGCACTTCCTAGGGAAGCTTTGAACATCTAATCCTGGAGATGTTAAGCAGAGAGTTGGATATATGGTTCTGGAGTGAGATTACAAATTTCCTGTTTGAATACTTTTTGAGCTAGTCTTTCCACCTTTTTCTTCCTCTTCCTTCCTCCTCTTTTTGTTTCCTTTTTTTTTCTTTTTGAGATAGGGTTTCACTATGCAGTCCAGGCTGACCTTGAACTCACTTTATAGCCTGAGCTGTCCTCAAACTTGCAGCAATTCTCCTGCCTCAGCCTCCTGAATGATGGGACTTTTTGCTTCCTTGAGACACTATGTAGTCTGGCTGGTCCCTTGAATTTGTGATCTTCCAAAGCACTAGGATCACGGGAATGAGCCGCCATGCCTTGCTAGAGCTTGGTTTTTGCTACTTGCATCTAAAAGCAGCTGTTGGCTTTCACTTGGCTAATGAGGGTGTAGACTCTGTGGTATGTGGACTTTGCTACTGAAATAAACCCTGATTTCTCAGAGTTGATGAGGCACCATTGAGTACACTGAAAACTTACAACCAAGAGTGATAATGCTGTTTACTGTATGGACACTTAGTCACTTCACCTAAAACCTCAAGTGAATGGGCCTGTGCTGGTTATAGGTTATTTAACCTGGGTACAGAAGCTCAAATATGTGTACCTTGCTGGGAAATGGCTTCTTCCTGCTGTTTTTTCCAGTTTGTTTTAAATTTTTTTTTTTTTTTTTTTTTTGGTTTTTTTGGTTTTTCTCCGGTACCAGGAACCGAACTCACGACCTTGCGCTTGCCAGGCAGGCGCTTTGTCGCTGAGCTAAATCCCCAGCCCCTCCAGTTTGTTTTAGATTCATACTTCACTTGGATTTCATTGGAATTTATACACTTTAAAAACTTTGAGCATAGACCATTTCCTACTCAGTTTATAGAGTGCATGCATTGAGCAGGTTAAAACTGTGATGTCTTAACAGAAGCGGTGGTGCACATCTGTGATCTCAGCCGTCTGGAAGGATGATGGGGTAAGATCACAAGTTATAAAATAAAGTTAAAATTGGGTTGGGAGCTGGCATGATGGTGCATGCCAGTAATCCCAGCACTCAGGAGGCTGAGGCAGGAGCTAATGACCTTTCAGGCCAGCCTGCACTACACAGTGAGACCCTGTCTCAAGCAAGACAACCACAAAATGGCCTGGGGGCATAGCTCAGTAGTAGCCGCAAGTGCAATGCCCTGGATTTGACCTCTAGCACCACAAATCAAACCAAACGCAGCTACTTCCTGACTTAGGTGTATGCATCTTGTCCTGGTAAAAGTGATTCCAGTTTTAAGTTTCAAAATAACTTTTTTTTTTTTTTTTCTATTTACAAGTAGCTCTTGTATGCATGTATGTATGTATGTACTTATACCAGGAATCAAATTCAGGACCCTGTGCTTGCCAAGCAGGTGCTTGTGCCGCTGAACTATATCCCTGGTCCTGTAAATACCTTTTATTAAAGTTACTGGTTCACAAAGGATGAGTTTAGTAAGCATTTCAGTGTTACCTGGAACACACTAGGAGCCTCGTAAAGCAAAGGAATTTTTGATGCTCTGGTCATTAAGAGAGGACACTGCTTCCTTCCCAGTGAATTGTGAATAGAGCATTTCCACCCCTAAGAAAAGAGGGGAGGTTTTTTCTCTCCTTACATTTCAAACATCAACAGAAGACTTGAATGTGTATGAATGCCAAAGATGAAGATGGTGATGAGAGGAGCATTTTCTGTCCCAGGAAACACTCCCAGGTTGCCCAAAATGCCTACATTGAGCCAGCTGAACGTATCAGGTGTTTTGTCACTCACTTATTCAACTGGCAAGTAACAGATGTACAACACAGATTTACTGTGCCTATTTCTGCATGTAAGAGAATTGGGGGGGGCATATGGAAGACTTTTTTATTCTCTAAGAACTCATGATCTAGTTGAATACAATTAATAATAGCAGAGGTAAATAGGAAAGTGCTGAGAAGGAATGAGTAATTCTGCCTCAAGGGTTCTGATAATTTCACATAAATAGTAATATTTGGCTGGAGTTTGAAGGTTGGATAGTTAACTAGGTATAAGGAATACTGAAAGAAGTAGTGTTGACACTAAGTTGTAAGAGGAATAATGGGGTGAATGTAATGCTGCAAGCTATAGAAATAACACCAAACACAAGTATGATACAATATGTGTTAGCTTTAGCAATCCTTTCAAAGTAGAGAAATCAAAATATATCATGTACAGGTACAAATTCCTCATGATGAATGTGATCATTATGTATATCTAAAATGTACCAATAAACTGAAATATATATATAAAGGAACTCCTTTCAAGGCTGTCTGTAAGGTTTTAAGTGAGTTCCAGAAGCTACTAGAACGTCACTATTACTGTAAGGTGGGCAAATTTAAAGCTATTTTAAGATCAAAACAAAGAATCATCTTCTCTGGCAGCCAGAAAAAGATTTAAGAAAACTCTCCTCAGTTTTTCTTTTAAAGGAATGCATGCCTGGTAGTTGATTTTAGTTGCCTCTAATCTGCAAATCTGCAGTAACTGGTTTGAGCACAATACCTACTTTATCACTGGCTGGTATCTTGGCAGGTGGAGACAAATGTGGAGTCACTACCACTAAGATTTCTTGGCATTGCCTTTCTGTGCTTTACCTAACACCAATAATTTGCTAAGACTATACTTTAAAGATATTTTCAGAATTTGAAACAAAAACTGATTTTTAAGTTATTTTGCATTATAAGTTTTAATTGGTTAATAAGAAAAATATTTTTAATCATTGACTTTTTGTAGTATCTGATGAATATAAATTCATTTACAAAGTAGAAAACAAATGTTTACACTCTTAAAGAATTCTATGCTGTATTTTGCAAACTCTTCCAAACCTGGCCTGGACACATTACTTAACCGGCAACTAATTACTTAACAATAGAAATTTCATTTTCTTCTAAGGATATTACAGGAAGCTGCAAATCCCAAAGTCTGAATGATCTAGTTTCCCACCAATGCTGGAATTTCTAATTGGTCTATTAAAGAATACTTTTACTGTCATCCTGCGTGACACACCCAACGGTGTTAAAAAAAAAAAAAACCACCGCAACACAACAAACTCATAAAGCTCGTAAAAACGATTCATGGCGTTTATAAATCGTATTTATTGTAAGTACTGAAAACCATTAAACTATACGAACCGTTGATTTAGGACGCTTCCCAACTCTAAATAGTTTAGAAGAATAGCGGTAGGTTTGAGGATCTTCTTTTTTACTTACTCATTTCTTCTTGGCATAGGTTTGCAGTACATAACGACGACACTCCTGGGGAGCTGCTACAGGCAAACAACACATCGTAATTCTTTTCTCGTCCTCTCTCTCTCTCCTATCTCTCGGTCCCAGGGTCGTCTAGTAACACAGGCAAAGCAAAACGATCCTTGTTCATTTAAAAACGCGTTTATCTGCTTCTTCGGATGAAACTTTTCAGGAAAAAACCAGGCAAGCCCAAATCTTATTTGAAAAGCAAATCTTAAAAGGAACGGAAACCCTGATCGCCAGCGGCACCAGCTGTCCGGGGCCACAGGTTCGCGCGGGCCGTGCACAGCTCCGTGAGCTCAGCGTCCTCAGGACGAAGTGGGGAGCCTGAGGGGTCACAGCAAGGCAGCCTCCCTCAGGCTGGGCACCTCCGGGCTCACGCCACTAGCAACCAAGACACATTCGCCTCGGCGGCGACAGGACCACGCCCCTTCCGCGCGGCGGCTCAAACCAGCTCCGGGGTGGCGGGTGATGCCAGACCACTTCAGCAATCTTCTAGAGGGCGGGGCGGAGGAGGGAGCCTCTCTAGCCTCTTCTCCGAACCAACGCTCCTTGTTCTCGATGATCTTCGCGCGGCCGTCTTCTCTTACGCCACTTCCGGTTCTTTTAAAGGCCCCACACTGAGCGGCGCGTGCGAGGAAGGTATAAAAGGGAGCGAGAGGGCGGGACCGATGGGGGGGACTTGCGGCGGAGGGGGCGGGGGTGGCGCAAAGGGCGCGCTCTGACATCACGTGACCGGGACGCGCCGTTCTTCCGTCGGCCATTTTAGGTGGTCCGCGGCGGCGCCATTAAAGCGAGGAGGAGGCAAGAGTGGCCGCCGCTGCTTCATATTCCTTTCTAGCGTAGCCCGAGAGAGTGGGAGTGCGCGCCGCGCGCGAGTGGGAGGCGAGGGGGGCAGGCCAGGGAGAGGCGCAGGAGCCTTCGCAGCCACGCGCGCGCCTTCTGGGTCTTGCGGTGTGCTCGGCGCGGTAGCGGGCGCGCGGCGGCAGGGATCCCTTCGCTGCTACTTGGGGCTCGCGGCAGCGGCGCGGGTGTCTTCTCGGCGGCGGCGGCGGCGGTAGCACCATGTCGGAGGAGCAGTTCGGCGGGGAC